GCCAATTTGATAGCAGTCAAAATTGATCCTCACTGGGTGCCTCACACTCTCCCACACACACATCTTTGATATAATGTTTTTAAATGAATTTTTTTTTTTTTAATACAACATAATTTCTTGTTACAGACAATATTTTTAGTGGGTATACATATTTGAGTTGAATGGTCTCCTTGACTTGGTGTAACGGTTAACAAGCATGTTTCTCTAGACCAATTACGACCGAGTAATGAGTTCTATTCTCGTTGGGTACTCCATACTTTAGGCCTTGTGCCACATCTAAGATTTACCACCAAATATTTGAATTAACATCACCCCTCCCCCTTCTTTTTTTTTTTTTTTTAACGCTTTGAGCCCTGACCACTGCTTTACCAGTGGTAGAGAAAAATGACATAATGCCCAGCCACTGGTTGAACAGTGGTAAAGAAAATGACTTGATGCCCAGCCAGCAGTTGAACAGTGGGTAAGCTACTTGTAACTATTTTTATATCTACTATGAAACATTACATACCAATTACTTGAAGAAAAATATACAGAAAAAACAAACAAAAATCTTAATATGCAATTATGCTTTATTAATGTTAATATAAAGCCAACGTCGGATGTTTCGGTCTATTTTAGACCATCTTCAGGACATTTTCATTAATATATTTGCTTACGTACCAATTACTTGCGAATTTTGACTCGGCACTTATGCAGAAGGGTTAAAATTGATCAAGAAGTTTTACAAAAAAAAAAAAAAAATCTACCTCTCAGCAAAAATCAAACTAAGCCTTGCCTTTCTGATGCTTTTGTGCGGCCAGATTCGTAGAGGTATGCTTCGGCAATAGGAGTGGCTTCTCTGATGGAGAAAGAGAATACTGGTTCAGTTCCTGCAGGTGTGTGTGCATGTAATAAATATATATATATATATATATATATATATATATATATATATATATATGCTATTTATTGGAAAGTGCTCAATATCAGTGATAGAGCTAACATATTTAGTTGGATTGATGTGAGTTTGTGGCCCTTACAATTGTCAGACCCAGGGTCACAAACTCTCATCAATCTTCCTATATATATATATATATATATATAAGTGCTATATATATATATATAAAGTGTATCTGCAATAGAGCTAACATATTCAGTTGCATGTCTATTAGTTTGCAACCCTGAGTTTCATGCTTTTGCAATCATCAGACAAACTGGTTTGCTTTTTTTTTAAAAAAATGGATCTATTTATACTTGTTTGTGTTTGATTATTTGTGTGTGATGGAGGTGGGAATTTTCTTCTGTGTTCGTTTGGGATGGCACCCTCACACATATGTACAAGTGTATGCATTTTAGTTCATATAAACACACTTGTATAAATAATCTGAGGTTAGGCACAGATACGCATCCATGTGTTCAAGTAATAAATATATATATATACACACACACACAATTGTTATTCTATTTCAGTGTCGAAACTGTAGCGTTGCATATGTTGCAATATTCTCTTAACAAGGAACAGGTGGGGGTGGTCTTGATGTTTTTCTATCAGCAGTCAGATAATATAAACCAGTTTGTCTGATGATTGCAAAAATGTGAAACCCGGCTATCTGTCTATATTTCTAAGATGAGGTATTATGTACACTATTTACATCATTCAGACTATTGCCATGTTTATCACAGCGTTTCAGCCGTTGTATGCTCTGGCCTTCTTCAGGTGGTTGGAATGTCGAACTGAACCCTTTATTTCATTTGCTGGGATAGACTGTTCTAGTTCCACATGTCATGTCTAATGGATGTCAGTTATCTCCTGTTAATTCCCCTCTCCAAGTTCTCCACCGCCTTAACCAGGTATTGAACTCACAATCTTTGGGTCCTGTCACTGGATCTAGCTAACGCTCATATCCACTGTGCCATGTGTCCTTAAGGACACATGGCACGTGAAACTAGAGCAGTCTACCCCAGCAAGCGAAACAAAGGATTCAGTTCTGAAGAAGGCCAGAGCATACAACAGCTGAAACATTGTGATAAAATATGGCAACAAAGTTAAGGACAATAGTCCGAATAATGTAAATAGTGTGAAACCCGGGGTTACAAACTAATATCCATGCAACTGAATATAATCAACAATAGCAACATTTATTCACTTTCATTTATTAGGCTTTAAATGACATGACTTTGCATCGTTCATAGTTTACCTTGACTTTCCCAGTTAGCCTGAATTATATTTCTGAGCATTCTTAATTTAAAAAAAAATAATAATTTTCTGGCATTAAAACCTGTAGAAAAGAAATGAAGCAACTAAAAAAAAAAAAATCAGTTCTTTTGAGAAATTTGAACCGAGTACACCAGCTGATGAGTACAATGGTTGAAACGTTTTAAGTAGAACGGGCAAGCTGAGCATGCTGGTCCAAATCGTATGGCGTGTAATAATCCTTCCGCCATGAATTGAATAAACCCTTTTTACTTAGAATAAATTGAATAAACGTTTTAAGTAGAACAGGCAAGCTGAGCATGCTGG